CAAACAAGTATAGACCAAATCGCCTAAATTGGAACAAAACATTTCATGCTTGTTTTGAAAATGATTTGCTACTCGCAAGTAGGCTAAAAATATAGATTTCGCCACTCTCAGGTGGGCTTTAGAAAAGATGATTTTGCCACTATCTAGTGGGCTTAAAACTCACAGTTTTAATGCGTTATCCCAATTTAGTTAATTCAACCTCCATCCACAGGCATTCAAGCAGTTATATCACATAAGCAGCTAGCCTTATGGTAATCATGTTATTATGGCAACACTCACACGCATGCGGTATGCTAAAGCATAAATGCTTACCGAGTACTCCAAGCCAGAACAGAAGCTAGTTAGTAATCATGTGCATGATCCTAGTTCATATTGAGATGGCTAATGCAACACATGCAATATGCAACTACAATAGGCTCGGCTATCCTAAAGATGGCATGTGAAATGCTGCAACTAACAGGTATTCAACTTGGAATTGAAATACAAGTGCAGTTAGTATGATGTACTGAGCCTGGTGCATGTAGGACAAATGTATGGATGCACGCATGCATAGCATAAGGTGTGATAATTTAAATATGCCCTAATACTAACCATCAAAAGCAGGTAAGTAAAAGGGAGAAAGAAGTGGGGGTTGAAAGACATGCACACACGCACCCACACTTATTACAAGTTAGCCCTCACTCGGAAGGACCGAAAGAATAATACAATTTAACTAACTTACAAGCTAATTAAATATTACAGACCACCTAATTAATTAAGTAAATTAATTAATCTAATTTAAGCAATAAATAGCCTCGGGAAGAGGGTCCGATGCGATGCGTGCTCGATTCCGCTCGGAAGTCACTGTCATGCACAAGCTGCCTCTGTTTTGACTGTTCTACTTCTCTGAAGACTGCACAAATCTCGGGGTTGCTTCCTTGAATGTTGTGGAACACCACCGGCTAAGGGAATTGGTCACCGGCCATGGAGAATGGTCACCGGCCACAAATTAATCCATCGGCTGCTTATGGATGGCCGGTCGGCACTTCAGATGGACGGCCGGCCAAATCTTCCTGCAAAAACTGGTTTGACAGCAGCAG